TCGCGGTTGCGCTCGTGTGTGTTTGCGCTAGCCGGTGGAGGCGTTAAGATGTAATGACATGCAAAAGAGAGAGTCTCGCGTAAACCCTAATGGTCGTACGACACACGCCAGTGTCGGCTTATAATCGGACAAGCATCAAACGTCCGAAGGCACAGCCTGCCATTACGAACTATTACCGTCGTCTTTTATCGCGCTGCGCCAACTTAAGCTTAAGCCTCGTTTCATGTTTATATCTACGTCACGCATAAGACTGGATAGACTTCACTATTTTTTTTTTTTTTTTATTAAATCATAATAAATCGCGATATATATATGGAAAGAAGGTACTTACTTTGTTAATTTCTCGATTAAACTCGTGACCGCGACACTGATACGACCGGTTACAAATTCTGCACTTAAGATATTTACTCTCGATATTTACGACAGAAATATCGTCCGAATATTAACATCTATAAGTGCAATAACAGTATTTGGTCTCGTTTGACGTGGCTACAAAGGAGAGCAGGGAGTCTCCATCGCGAGGCACGAGAAGGCCTCTTCTGAAACTACCGACTTCCATCGCTATACTTCCGATAACGAATGCATCGCGCTATGTTGTAAAAGCAATGTCGTGAATGTCTTTGCCAAGAAATATCGCGAATGGTATCGAGCCTATAGCATGCGCATAGTAATTCAGATTAATACAAAAATATTTCGACAGCGTAGAAAAATATTTTAAATTTTAATTTTATCTATTATTAAATAATAAATTTTAATATTATTATTATATAAAATAATTATTAAAATAATTATTAGTAAAATAATTATTAATCATTATAACTATTTAAAGTTATTATTAATGTCTGTTAGATACAAGACATTTGAAATGTATTTGACATTGTCACTTTTTTCGAGATAAATTTGTTATAAATTTATCAAAATCTTTAAGAATAATACTAATTTATGTTAATGATGATGTGTGCAACAAAAAAGATTATTTATGAAGCGTTAATACGCTTGTTAGAACCACTTACTAATAATTGCCATTTTGATAAAACGTGTCTGGTTTGTGATTCTTTCTATGGGAACGTTTTAAAGTAAAGAAGGTAAACCTGATCTAAACACGTTTTGTTCGGAGAAAAATAGAATACTTTTGCGATATTTACAGATATGTAAATGAGATACAATGTATGAGAGAGACACGATAGTTGCAGTTTATTAGCGAAGAGCTTATGTTGAAATTCCATCATGTTTTTTTGCGTCCGTCACTTTTCCGACGTTCGTTGTTGCTTAAGAATGTATCGTTGCAGACATTTAAGTCGGCCAGCCTATACGCGCGCTGAAGACGCACCTGAATAATGTTTGAGGACGACGGGGGTTGACGTTTGTCGTGGCGGTGCCTAGCGTGCAAGTTCTCTCCCCTCTCTCTTTCTGTTCTACCCTCCTCCCATGACAGGGTGCTCGTCTACCATCTGCCCTCTATGCCCTATCGTTGCCGCTAGTCATCTCATCCCTCTCCCCCGACTCAACGGGATTCATAATTGTCCGAGGGGGCATATCGCTGGCGCGAGGGAGAGCACCGGGGACACGAAACTAGTTATGCGCAATCCTACTCGAGAGAGAGAGAGGGGTGGAAGCGGAGGGGTGAATCAAGTGAGGAAAGAGAAAAGAGAAACGAAGAAAGAGAAAAAGAGAGAGAAAGACAGAGAGAAGGGGGAGGAAGAGGCAGAAAGAAAGCTACGATCCTTCCTCCCCCCTCCGTGCCTCACGGCTGAATACTTGAATATTGATTAAGCATGCACATCGCGATTACCGGGAGCAAGTAAAAGCGCTCTTCTTGCCGGCTCGCGACCTGCGTGTCTGCGGATATTTATGTGAAGCGGTGCTTCGACGATATGTCCCCCCCTTCCTCCCCCACCCCCCCATGTCCCGTGCCAGTCCCTCGTCCTACCCGCGCGCGACGCCCCCCCCCGCGCCTCGTCGTCTCGGAGGGATAGAAAAGGCCTGCCGGAAG